ATTGAGATGTAAAATAAATATTGGCTCAACTAAGAATATTATAAAATATCTATTTTCATCCCATTTTTAGATACTTTTTTATCACAAAATAAGTACGGTTTTTAGATAAAAAATAAGTCTTTAGCAATCTTCAAGTTTTATTACCCAAAGATCCTTCTTCGTTTTCTAATGCCATTATTGGTAAAATTAAATATTTAGCAAAATTTTATTCCTATGAGATTGATACTGAAATAAATTTAATCAGTGAATTCGAATTGTGGCATAAATATTTACTACGTTTAGCTATTTTTCCTGAGTATGCTATTGATGCGCTCAATCGGTGTAAAGAAACCTTGTCTCAATTTCCAAATATTTTGAAGTTGTTTTATATTCTTGCATGTTTGCCTATTACAACATGTACGAATGAAAGGACTTTTTCCAACTTGAGAAGGTTGAAAACATATTTACGAAGTACTGAATCTCGGCTAAATGGGTTAGCTCTGTTAAATATCCACAGAGATTTCGTTACAACGACAAACGAAATTCTTGATGAATTGGCAACATTCCCACGAAAATTAAAAATCACATTATAATTATAGAAAATATTTTGTATAATATTGTATTTGATAAGAAGTTAAAAAAACTTGTTAATTTAATCATTTTCTAGTCAATATTTTATACGCACTACTATTATAGTATTTTCAATAAAAAAATTATATTCTTCTTAGTATGAGAATTTAAGCTGAGGCTAGTTTTTAACGCTAATTTTATAAAAAAAAATGACATTACACTTTATTTCAACTTTACATTTAAAAAACTTTATTAAATATAATATACCTAACTTGAAATAATATAAAATAGGCTTGTAATATCCATAAGCACGAATTAGTAAATAATAGTTAAAAATAGAAATATAATTATTATTAAATTATGAATAATTATTATTAAATTATGAATAATTATTATTAAATTATGAATAATTATTATTAAATTATGAATAATTATTATTAAATTATGAATAATTATTATTAAATTATGAATAATTTAATAGAATAGCTAAAACATAAGACCCGGCCGAAGGCCAGGTAAAAGGGATTTGGGGGCGAAGTCCCCAAAAATTCCCCCTCCCCCCTATAAGAAAATTCTGGATACGCCACTGAATTCAACCATAGTTAAGTTCATCAAACATAACCAACATATAAGGTAAAAACATTAGTGTATTTTATAAATTATAAGTTTGATTCTTCTATAAAAAAACTTTAAATACAAATATCCTTAAATCTATTCATAAATAAAAATTTAACAATTTTCTTTTCTTTTCAATTTTATTTATATTTCTATCATCATATATTGACAGTGACAGGTATTATAATCATTTCTCATTCCAGATCTCTTTTTCTATTTTTCCAACAATTCCATCATACATTTTTTGCAAAATTTTAATTATATTAAAAATGAAAACTATTTTATAAAAAAATTTTGAAGCTCAAATTACAAAAAGGGCCTAGAAATAATTGACTTTTTTAATAAAGTTAAAGTTATAATAAAAATGAATGAAAATAAATATAATAAATTGCAAACATGGCAACATAATGCTCTTTTTTTTAATATTAATAAAAAAAAATCCAAGGTTAGTCGAAATAAGCGCATTTAGTAATAATACTTAATAATACGATAAGATTTGAATTTATTGGCAAAAAAAATTATGTAAAATTATAAATAAAAGTAGTTACATACAATACAACTTACAATATCAGTAAATAGGTCAATATTTAAAGAAAAACTCTTTTTTTTAAAAAAAAATAGATCTACAAATTGCCTCTATATTTAAAAAAATAAATCATAAAATAAAATATCTTAATATATTGATAACATATAAGGAAAAGTCCCATAAATCTAAAATTCATATGAATTTCCAATTTTGAAATTAACCCAACAAGATCGAACATCAATTATCTATTTGTTTTATTCAATGGAAATTACAAAGGTATGTATTATAAATTTTTTTGGACATGAAATTATTAAATAAATGATTTGTAAAAATAATTCATTTTTCTATATGATTTTATTGCCGGAAGCAAGTAAATTTTTTTCGAGGCATATTCTCCTAATTTTAATATATTGTAAATCTAGTTGATAATAATTCAACTACCCTATCAGAACCGTCTAAAGCCCTGATTTTATATATAATCGCGTTGTTTTCTTATCATCCGGCCTTGCTCTTAGTCAAAATTTTAATGCGCAATTTGGCTGATACCTTAAACTAGGGATCATTTTACAAGCCCGACCCGGCCCAAAATTTTTTTAAAAAGTGCCGGCCCGGCCCGAACCCGAAATTTTTTAAAAATTTTGCCGGCCCGAACTTGATTTTTTTTAAAAATAATTTACCAGCCCAAATCGAAATTTTATAGAAATTAATTTTTATAATTACTCAAAATAAAAGATATATGTTATATGGCGTCTAGTTTCTATAAATAAAATAAAATAATTTTATTTTACATAAAAAATTCAACATATAATTGATAAGTTTAGATATATTTTAAAAAATTTCCAAGGCCCGACCCGGCCCTACAAAAAGAGTAGTGCAATTATCTTCTAAATCAGTAGGCGACGTAGACAGCCAAAAAATGATAGTTGAAACAAAGAAGACCGCATATTAAGAGATGAATAATAAGTAATATAGGTCTGCAATAAACGGGATCGATAATGTTATAATATGTATAAATAATGATAAAATATAAAACTTAATGATTCTTTTGAATAATTCTTATGAAATAAATAAAACATTTTTGATTAAAATTTTTATTATGACACGCAGTTATAATTATATTATTAAGATAAAACTATATTATTTTTTAACATGTCTAATATATTATGTTAAAAAATATGACATTAATTTATATTAAATTAAATTAAAAAAAAAAATTTATCATAAAATTTTGAACGAACGTGAACACGTTCCTTTTTTTTTGAAAGTGAACGTGAATGCGTTCGATTTTTGTCAATGAACTTTGAACGCGAATGCGTTCGATTTTTTTAGAAATGTTTACAGCACTAATATATTCTTATTTTTAGAAATATTCAATTTAAAAAACAGTAATACATTATATATAGTAAATTAATATTGACCCTGATATAGAGTATATATTGTATATATGTTTTAGTGTTGTTAAACCGCCCGATTTAAGCCCATATTTAAAACCGCTCAAGTTTAATCAAAATAATATTATGTACACCTGAAGATTTTGTTCATAGGAGAAAGAAAGGTTTGGACCCAGTGGCGTAGCTACGGGGGTGGTTTTCGGTTTTGGACCCCTCCCATTTTTTTTAGATTATACTTTCAAAAGACGATTATACTTTCAAAAGACTCAAAAGTGACTTTATATCAAATAAATACCATGAATATTTATATTTTTCTGGTTTTGATGTTTGTGGAAGGATATTATATTACTATTGAAATAGTCTGGATAGTATTACAAAGTCATTGAGAATAATCTAATAAAATATAATAACATATAATTGTTGCATTTAAAAAATATATTTATTAAATATGATTTTAAGATAAAAATAGGGGGGGGGGGGGTCTGGGGGGCGAAGTCCCCCAGGCTTTTATATGTATGGACCTCCTCTAAGGAAAATCCCTAGCTAGGCCACTGTTTGGACCTCTATTTGTCAAATCTCGAGGCTTACAAAATATTACTTTGGCTAAAATTCTAATCAAGCCTTTTTTAAAAATCGACCCAAATTGGACCGTTTAGCCACTATATGTTTTTATCTCCAATCTTTATAGTAATTGAGAAAAAATAATAATAAATAAAAAATATAGGTGGCCGAAATCTTCGTGAGAAAAAACAAATTATTATCTAATCTAAGAGACAACTCTTTATTATATAACTTTTTTTATATACAAAACTTTATTCGTCAACTTATAAAAATTTTTATTTTAGTACTAATATTAATTTAGTAAAAATATAGATTTTTCATTGTTTTGTTACCGATATTTCTTTCTATTTATACATAGAACACTGATCATCATCCATTTATGCAAAACAACCGGGAAGATATCGTTGATTTCAGTAATTCCTTAGTTAGCAATGTATCCAAGATTGATCGAAAATTTCTCAACGTATCACCTAAAAAAAAATTATCTCAAAATATTTTCCTCAATGGAGATTTAGGTGATAACCTAGTCGTAGGGTTTTAATAAATTAAGTGTTATACTTCATTGACCCGAGTTTTTAGAAAATTAAAACTAAAATAGATATTGCACGTTTTTTAATTTTGAAGAACCTTATTTTTCTGAAATAATATTACAGAATTTATAGAGTATCTACCTTAAGAGTTTTCGACAATTTCGCTATGAATTTTAGCGTATTTTTAATAGCATTTTACCTAGTAGAGTATTATTTCAAACTTTACATGTATCATTTTGGTCAAAATTTACAGGTTCTAATACACTTTAAGTTTAAAATGATATAAAAGTTTGAAATAATATTTACCAGAGGAAATGTTATGTAAATTATGAATATTTCAAAAGTTCAATGTAAATTGAAATAATTTATAGGTTAAATACTCTATACATGATGGAATACGATTCTGAGACTTTCAGAATTAAAAAATATGCTATAATTTTTTTTTAAAAAATTGCAAAAACCCAAATTTTCTAAATCCTTACGTAAATTAATTTTTTTATTTATTTATAATAAATATTGAATTCATATATATAAGTAAAATTTGTTTTCCCTATCATATCTTAATAATAACTTTTAATGTTATTTATACTAAATCTGTTTAATAATTTTTATAAATGTATAATAAACTATGATAAGTTTATTACAATGTATTTTTTAAATAAAGAAAAGAAAATTAAAGCCAGAACAAAAGGAAATAAACTACGTTATAAAGATTTGTAATTAAAATAATTGTTTTCACAAATTTGAACTCAAATCTATAGTTTAGTTAATAACATTTATACATTACATGATCATTAATTTCATTTCAATTAATTTTTATTATAGCTTCCAAACACATTGAAAAAAATGAATTTTGCGAAATTGAAGAAAATCTAAATTTCTTAAATCTCGATGAAAATAACTCTATAATAAAAATTATTAATGGACACCATGGGACCGACTCAGAAGTACAGGATGAGAAATTTAAAAAATTGCAAAAGGCTTTAGCAAATATACAGAAAAAAACGTTCACTAAATGGTGTAATTCTTATCTAGAAAAAGTTAAATATAAATAATATCTAAATCTGATCCTAGGTAAGATCGGGGAAGGTTAATTCACCTTTTGTTGAAATTTCAAATAATTTAATAAAATTAATCTGGGCAAATAAATATATTCTAAATCCTCGAAGTTTAGAGTATTTGAAAGAGTTAATATATATTTTATAAAAACAATTTTTTTTTAAAATTTAATTGGAAAAAGGCATTTTATTTGGATTAACGTTCCCGTACTCTGGGTATTTTGGTGCAAAAATAGGTTCTAGTTGGTCCACTAAAGAAATGAGGGTCTAAATATAACATTATTTTTTTTGATGTTGTTAAATACTAGAGACTAAGAGTATATAATTTATTGATATTATAATATGCAATAATTAAGTAAATAAAATTAAAATCAGACATTTTTATGAATTTTTGTAAATAAATCATTTAAAGTATATATGAAAATTTTAAGATGGACAAATCTACATTTAAAATAAGATATAAATATAAAGCATACCTATCAACCACAACCCGCTAATTTTATAAAATGGCATTAAAATGACAATGTGTTTTATGATTCTCAAAAATTGTCCGACTAAAAAATAGAGTTTATATTTTCTTAAAATCTATTATTGGGATTTTGGCTTTATTGTAAATCTAAATGATAAAGTTTGAAATTATATTTATTAACTTTATTATGTTAAAGTACCATTTCCTCAGTAGAAATTAAAATGTTTTTAAAATCTTTTTAAGAGAATGATGTATGACTTAATTATCTATATTTTCCACTCTTATACAATAATATAAGATATGAATATAAAATAATTAAAGCATACCTAGGACTAACCACAACCCGCTAATTTTATAAAATGTCATTTAAAATCATAATGTGTTTTATGATTCTCAAAAATTGTTAGACTAAAAAATCGTTTATAAATCTATTATTGGGATTTTGGCTTTATTTGTAATTCTAAACGATTAAGTTTTCAATTATATTTTGTTAATTTTATAGTTAAAGTACAATATTAAAATGTTATAATTTTTTAAAATTGATATATGGCATAATTATCTATAATAGATTATTTCCACTCCTATACAATAATAGATTTGATTATAAAGGAGTGGACTGACATTCCCCTGTACCCAATATGTCCTGTTGTTAAAATAAAATATAGGCTTATGTTAAGTTGTCATTTAATTAATAAATTTATCTAAACTTTTCAAATGAATATTATTAAAATAATCAATAAGGAAATGTTATGTTCAAATATAGTTAGATAATGTATAATAGTATAAAAAAATTAAATTAAAAATCTTCCAAGAACAAAAAAATTTATTCTGATTTATTAACTATAACGGTATAATATATATTTATTAAAGAGAAATCAATCGATCGATGAACTATACTCAGACATAGGAAATGGGATCATATTATGGCATTTGCTAGAGATTTTATCTGGTGAATCTTTAGGCAAACCTAACATGGCTAAACATAGAGTACAAAAGTTGGAAAATGTTAACGTGTGCTTAACGTTCCTAAACGCTAAAGTTTTATATATTATTAGTTTATTTTATTTTTTATTCGCGTCTAAAAATATTTTTACATTTTTCACATAGTCTCTATAGTTCAGTAATATTTCCTTTAGTCAAATAACTGCTTAAAATTTGGTGAACAGAGAGGGTTAGAGGAATTAATCCACTATTCGTTTTTTTCGATTAGTTACCTCTTTGCCATCACTCTTTCTCAAATAATCTTTCGTAATTCACTAAATATTTCTGATTGGAATAAAACCAAGAGTACATGCAGGTTATACTTTTTAGTGGATTTCGATGAATGGCCAGCGGATTGAACCTTTCGTGAGTTAACAAAACCTCAGCTCACCTTTTATAGCTATTATTTCTTAATTAAGCCTAATAACAAATATATTATGTTTGACTTAACAACTTCCTAAAATATACTGTATGATTTAATTACACTAAGAGCTTAATAAGGTCAAATACGAATTTTTCCTATAGCTTGGACGCATTTATTTATTTATTCATTCATTATATTAGCCCACATAGTTTTTGTTTCCTAAGCCTAATAACAAGTATATCTTATTTAAAATCGAGTTTTGATAATGCATTTTACTAAACATTTAATGTATATTATTATTATATTTATTATTTGCATTATAACTTATCTATTATTACTCGAATATAATAAAACATAGTATAAAATTGACAATTTAAGCTACATCATTAATTCCCATAAATTTCCTTTAGCCCGGTTATTCCCAAGAAAAAGTTACCGTAATAAAATTTCCCCAAAATTTTTAGACCCTACATGTGATGCATTATTTGTTCTAAAAAGTACATAAGTTCTATTTATTTCTAATTTCAAAGGTCAAAAAATGTCTCTATTACCAAGCCTCCAAAAGAAAAAAGATCTTTCAGAAAAAGAACACAAAATCTGTGATGTATTGCAACAATAGTACAGCATTATTTTCAGCAATGAATCAAGATTTATTTTGGAATATTCACACATAAAATCTTTAGTTATATAAAAGAAACTTTTAATTCGAATTGTCTTAAAAGATCTGTTAAATTCTTAGCAAATTTTAAGGTATGGGGTTGTAACAGGTAAAAAGTAATTACAAATTTATTAGAGAATCAGCAGATTTTATTAGATCATCCGAAATATCCTTACCAGGGAATTTATTCACAAATCCTGAATGAATGAATGCAGCTATTCATGGTTATTTATAGGAAAAACTAGGATTTAACCAAGGAATTTATTTGAGAAAAGTTGTATGTGTTGTCGAATAAATTATATATGTTATTAGGCTTAGGAAGCAAATACTATTAAAGAGCTACGAGTAATATTTTAGATGAATGTATCCAAGCTATTCATGATTTTTTAAGAAAAAAGATTTAACTTTTTTAAATGATTTAAAAAATATTTAAAAAATTGGGAATTTTTGGGAATATCCCTTTTCCTTTTAATAAATTCCCAGAAATATTCCTAAGAATTTCCAGAAACATGCCCGGGTTTAACAACCCTAATTACATGCAATATTTTTTCGCAGGTATTTTTTTAAACAGTCGTCTTATCCATACATATTAGAATTCCAATTATATTATTTCATTAATGCTTAAATGCTTATATCATTTCTTTTCTCTTAGTTGTCACTAAATGTTTACCCGTTTTGCATCTAGAATTGTTTGCTTGAGAATTTTTGGACAATTTTATAATGTGGCGAACCGTTTCTCTATTTTATTTTTTCTGATTTTTGATTTGTAGGAATGAGTATTATGCTCATAATCCATTCAGAATAAATAAATTTTTATATGTATTAATAATAATATGGGATAGCATAAAATAATTCTTACTAGCCGAATTCAAAGGCGTTAAAATTATTGAATTTTTTTAATAAAATGGCACCCTTGTGAATCGCTAAATTAATTTTAGAGTTGAATTTTAATGTAATATTAATACAATTTACAATTTTATAGCGTGTCTAATTTCTTTATTCATATATATGATATAAATCTTAAATTGAATAATCTTTTTACCATAATATATATTAGATTTTTGACTTGACTTGCACAAGTTATTTTTGGCGAACTGTTTGACTTTGGCCTTTGGGAGCATATTATATATGCCCTAATGAGATATGTATATGGAATCTATAGGGATTCAGAACTCGATTATAAATCATTTACTGAGGACGATTTTTTGATTTGAATGGAAATGTATTCAAGCATATAATGTTGTTAAACGGCTCGATTTGAGCCGATTTTTAAAAATGGCAAACTCAATATTTCATCCAGAAAAATATTACACAAGTCTGAAGACTTTGCTTGTAGATGACATGCTAATATGGTGTAAAAATTGAAAAGATATTGATACAAAATTACTTTATTTTAAATTTATTTATTATAAAATATAACTAACTCACTATTAACCTAATAAATTCTATATATATACTTTTCAAAAGTAAATAACAATCAATGTAACTATTAGATTAATATTATATTAAGTGAAAGAAATAATATAACAAGTCCGTAGGTTAATATAATTTAAAATAAATTTCGAATGTATTATCATTCCCCCCTTTTGTTCTTTCTTCAATCTTTCTGTGTTCCTCGCAGTCGTCGTGGAACTCACTTCCAATCCTTTGTTGCTTTTGTACGTTCTCCTATCTCTTCTATCCTAGATCCCGTTCTGTTTAAATCTTTATCATTAATTCGTCGTTTAGTATAGAATAATTTGTCGAATATCTAATAAGAATAATGGAATTGGAATATAGAATTTATTAGTAGAATATTGAATTGAAAAGGAATTAAGAATAAGAATGATAAAATTGGAATAATAGAATAATATTCAAAAGAATAATTGATATGTGATTCGCGTTTTAGTTTGGCGTTTAAATTTATTTTTATATTTTGCGTTTTAGTTTGGCGTTTAAATTTATTTTTATATTTTGCATTTTAGTTTGGCGTTTAAATTTATTTTTATATTTTGCGTTTTAGTTTGGCGCTTAAATTGATTTTTATATTTTGCCTTTTATTTATTTTTATATTTATCTTTATATTTTAGTTTGGCGTTTGAATATATTTTTTAGTGTATTTTTACAAGTGTTTTATGTGCTGAGATCTTATACATGTCTCATCTATGGACATGATAAAATCTTTAAACCTCTCGGGTTTTTTTGATGCTCGAACCGGTCTTGGCAATATTCAAATAAGACTCAGTGTTGAATTACTGACAACATCCTTTCCCATGAAGAAATCCTCCTGAACGTGATCATTAATATTGGTCGTGTCATATGATTTTTTTTATTTGATCCAGATGCCGTCTTATGATGCGGTTACCTGTGTCGACTTCGTATAAAAGGTCGCTATGCTTTCGTTTGATAGTACCTTTATCCCATTTGTTTTCGCCAAATACTTTGAACCATACTTTATCCCCTGAGTTTATGATCCTATTCGGAGAAATAATGGTCTTAGTTTTAATATCGTCATTAGTAATAGACGTAGGCTTCAATAGATCCCACTTGGTTTTAGTCTCGTAGTTGAACATTAATTTGGTGGGTGATATGCCCGTAGTCGTATTAGGTGTGTTTCTGTAATTGAACAAAAACTTCTCTAGCGCTATATCAGCATCTGTGTTCTTGTCCTCCATATTGGGGTTCATACTCATTTTGAATGTCCTAACCATCCTCCACCTGTCCATTTAATTGTTGGTGGTAAGCTGATGATAGTACATGCTTTATACCGTGATCATAACAAAATTTTTTAGATAATTTGCTGGTAAAATTAGTGCCGTTGTATGTAACGATGGTTTCTGGTATCCCAAACAAGTTTATTGTTTTCATGAGCTCTTTTAATGTTCTCTCGGTGGTTATAGATTTCATCGAGGTGATGATGGGATATTTACTGTATGTATCCACTATTACTAGCCAATATCTTAGAAAAATGCACCTGCTTAATCTATATGTAATCTTTCGAAGTGGTTTAAGTGATGTTGTATGGTTTTCGGGTTATCTGACCACATATTGCATAATTCACAGTTTTTTACCTTTAAATCTATTTCTGCATTTATGCCAGGCCACCATAAATAATTCTTTGCCAGTGCTTTAGTTTTTCCTGCTCCCAAGTATCCGGCATGTATGCAGTATAATTTTTCTAATATTATTAGGAATCACTATTTTTTCCGCCTTGTAGAGACAATTTTTTACTATACTTAGTTCATTTTCTATTTTTTATAAGTCGTGTTCTTTATTGAATCGCCTTTCCTCACATCATTTATAACCTGCGATAGTTTTTTGTCATGCATGGTTCCCGCTGCTATTTCTTCGAAGTTCATCGGTACATCCCATAAATTGTTTTTATCCAATTCTTCTAGCTCGTGTATTGTTTCCTCAATGTCTTTCAAGGGTAGTCGTGATAGGCAATCAGGTACTATATTGTGTTTACCTTTATTTATTTTTTATTTTGAGAAGCCAGTATGTTTATTTTATATGTTTTTTAGATAGGATCTGCAGACTGATTTATTAGATTTTTAGTTTTTTTACGAAGTTAATTTAGATTTAATATTTTACATCTTTCTTTTAATTTATTATTTGGTTCCTAACTATAAGTAGTGTCGGATAAAACCATTGCCATCATGCCAATATGGTGTAATAGTTAAAAAGATGTTGATATAAAATTATTTTATTTTATTTTAAATTTATTTATTATAAAATATAACTAACTCACTATTAACCTAATAAATTCTATATATACTTTTCAAAAGTAAATAACAATCAATGTAACTATTAGATTAATATTATATTAAGTGAAAGAAATAATATAACAAGTCAGTAGGTTAATATAATTTTAAAAAAATTTCGAATGTATTAACATGACACAAATGTCTAGAAATCTATTAGCGAAATCTCGAACCTTAGGCAATATTTTTTTTGGCTATAATATTGAGTTAGCCGTTTTTAAAAATGGGCTCTAAACAAGCCGTATAATAGCACTACCAGCATATCGTGTACTTTAATGTATTTTTTGATATTATATAAAAAATTTATATAATAATGAACATAAATTAAGATTAATTCAAAAGCTCTTTGGAATAAAATTTACAGCGTAAAACTCTATACTAGAGATCCGCAAATGGCAATTTTTTCGATCCAATCCCACTAGACTCAGAGGAAAAGCATTTACCAGATCTACCCAATCCAATAAATTTTCTAACAAATATTACATAACCGAATCGACCCAACCCAAAGATGATCCGGAAATCAATTTAAAAAAGTTTACTCTAAAAATTTTTTTTTGTACATTATAAGGAATAATATTAAAATGAACAAAATAAATTAACATATAATATATAATCTATTGATATCACTACTGATTAAAATTCAATCCGAAATAAAAATAATTATAAAACTCAACTCCATCTAACACACAGGTTGAGTGGGTGAGCTGGGTTTTCAAATTGGGCCGGGTTTTGCAGATCACTACGGTATATACATGCTGGAATACATTCCGGTCAAATCAGATAATTCAAATTTAAAAAATCGCATTTAAAAAATAATTTATATCTAGAGATTGGATTCCAAATCTCGTTATAAATTATATACCTGCAATTTTCGTAATCTGGCTATAATTGTTACTATAGTATAATCATTATACGTGTAGTAATCTTACAATATTATTTGAAATTTATTGGGTAACAATTCTACACATACTGGGATACATTTTCGACGAAATATTGAGCGCGTTTTTATTTTACTAGGAATGTATTCCAGTAAATGTAGAATAGCTATCCTATAGATTTTTTATTTTGGCATTATTTATATAATGATAATACCCGGATTTAATATATTACACCTATTTACTAAGACAATGCACGTATATTGACTAATTTCCATATTGACTGTAAAATATTTAAAATATAAATTATATATATATATATATATATATATATACAAATTAAAGTTTCAAATATGCCATCAAATTACATAATGTTGTTAGGTTCATCTGGAGAATATAGGTTCCGAAGATATTGTAGATGGCAACGAACGACTTATATTAGGCCTCATTTGGACCATCATCCTTCGTTATCAAATAGATGACATTTCTATCGATTTAGTTTGTTCACATAGCTCTGATTTTATTATATTTTGTATATTTAATTGTTTTTAATAGGACAATATTTAAAATTAAGATAATATCCTATACTAGTATATAATTTATTTTATAATTTTATTTTAGGGTTATTTAATTTTTAAGTTAATTTAATCATTTTTTAAAAATAAAATATCATAGTGAGGCATCATTTCATTTTAATTGAGAAACTTTAAATAGGATCCGAGCCGATTTTCGCCGTTTGATCGAATCCGAAATCGTTATCATATTAAACGCAATTTTTTTTTGCTATTTTAGAAATTAAATTATTTACTTTTCATTTTGTTGGGTTAATGACTTTTTTTTATATTTATAAGGTTAGGTCAATTGAAATTCCCTATATCTCCACAATTCTGACTCGCCACTGGCCAGATATTTTCTTCATGTAATTATCTACTATTTTCATCTATGTTTATGCTGGATCTTCGCTTTACTCCCCCCCCCTTCCATTTCTTCCAATCATCCTATGATTTTCGTTCAATATGTTCAAATCATCAATTTATTTCTACCCATGACACTCCTAGTGACTCTTTTTAGTTGCTTTATATAGCGTTATCATTGGTCATGTCTGACTATTATTAACCACAACCTCCCACAGAGCATAGGTAAAATCTTATCAGATAGACGCGTATTTTATATTTTTTAATCGATTACAATTCTTGTAATCTATTCCACACACATTTTATAATACTTGTCTCTCGACCCTCAAGAACCACAAGTAATAAAGTTTCCAATGTCCTCAAAGCAAATAATTTTTTAAATTTATCTATTTTTATACAAATTATCAATATCATCTTGAACCTGGGAACAAATGTCGTGTATGCTAGGGGTGAACTTTCTTTTTCGCTACTATATATTTTATCAACCAATTTTCACTAGCTGATGAATTTTGATAGAGTTGCTACAACAACTTTCTCAAGTAAGCAGTAAGGTCACATGTCTGTTTTTTCCATATTTTCTTATATTTCATTCATTTTCAAACTTCGCACATACCATTCTTCCATCAATTTTTATGTTTCAATTCCGTATAACTTTTTTATAATCAGTTCAATATCATTGGCATATGAAAGTCCTTCACGCATCTATTTAATTAAATTACCAATTCCTTTACCCCTCATTCATAGTTAATTCGCGGCGAATTATATAAAATACGCTGTCTTTTTGTGAATTTTTATATACTTCACCGCACATTCGCGCTAACTGGGAGTGTAGAGTTACTAATAGGTTATCGTGCCTTTTCAAAACCTTCACTATCGTTGTCAATTATCATTATAACAGTTTGTTCCTTCCTATACATCACGATCATTATTAGTACCCATTTTGCCTAATTTAAAATAAAAATTAGCCATTTTTCTTTTCCAATAATAATTCCTGGTTAAATGTTGAAATATAAAAAACTTTTAAAAAAGTTAGAAGTGGATGAGATACAATATAATGGGCCCGCAATATAATTCATTAGGTAGATTGTGGCTCTATATAAGCCAAATTTTTAATTTTGCTTAACTATACTCTATAATTCCTGATATTTTTTAATTTTACAATAATATTATTTAATTAGATAATAATATTTTAATATTAAAAATTCGAAAGCCTTATATTGTGAGTATATGAAAGAAATATATTTTGTTTAAAATAAATTTTTACAAATAAAATAAAGACTCAGGAAGAAAGACAAAAATTATACAAAAATGAACCAAAATCAAAAAAATACTCCGATATATTAGATGCCAAAGTAACATCCAAAAATGCACTCTTAATTTGGTGTAAAAGAAGAACGAAAGGGTAAAAACATATTTAAGTGAATATTATTAACAACTGTAAAAAATATATTCATAACATCTATAAAGTAACGTCATTAGTACTAGCGTTACATTTTTGTAAATACCTATTTTTAAATAGAATAAAACTTATAATGAAAATGTGACTACTTTAATTTACGTGTAAAGTCTGATAAAATAATGACTCTTAAGCTAACTTTAGTGAGATAGTTTAAAAAGGTTTATGGCTCTAATTTAAGTCATTTGATAAACATAAAGGCAATTTATAGTTGCTCAGGTTCCTAGTTCTCTTGAAAACTGAATCACTAATGCCTAGAAAATAATTATATAAATAATAAATAAAATTTTGATTTGTTCTACGATCACTTTCCTTTTTCTTATGATTTTGTTTAATAAATTAGTGAGATGAGAATTAAACATATCCAATATAAAATTTAATTTATGAATAAATTTAGATTCTGGTACCATATTTCGAAATAATTTTTAAATAATAAAATTAATATAATAAAATATGGATTTATTGTTGTCTATATGTGTTTTGAATTAATGAATAAAGCTATATTTTAAATATTCAAATAAAATTTTTTAGATATCATAATGTGGATATTCAAAATTTTTCATCCAGTTGGAAAGATGGACTTGGATTTTTAGCAATAATACATTCCTATAGGTAATATTAAATATATATTTATACTCGTTGGCCTTGAAACCACCATAGTGATTTACACATCTATCTTTACCCCCTATTAACTACATAAGAATTAAGAATTGTTATTAGTCTTCGATTAGGCACTTGATCCTCACCTTAGAGATCTGCTAAAGTAGGCCCGGCCCGGCCTAAACGGGCTTCAGGCCGGGTTCGGGCCTATTTTTTAAAAAAGAAATCGGGTTCGGGCTGGGCCGGGTCGGGCTTTGGAATTTTTTTTAATATATCTAAATTTATAAATTTTATGTTGAATTTTTAATGTAAAATAAAAATATTTGATTTTATTTATATAAACTAGACGCCATATAACATATATCATTTATTTTGAGTAATTATAAAAATTAATTTCTATATTTAAATAAATTCGGACCAGGCCGGCAAAACTTTAAAAAAAATAAAATTAAGCCCGATGCAGATCACTACATCACCTTCTTTAATGTAGTGTTTCATGATTTATTTCATAGAGTTTTGAGAACTACTAATATTCCCACTTCTCTTGAATCCTCCGGCCTCAGGCATGATTATCAACCTAGACTTGATATATTGGCTTCATCCTAGAATTGCACCTAAATAAATTCTTTTACAAACTTGCTAATTTCTTCCACTCGAAAAGTTACAAAAATAAAAAAAGTTTAAATCTCAGAAACAGTTGGTTGTATCCTAAGCACTTCAATTTCTTATAACTATAAGACAAAGATTGGGGTGAATTACCACCTCTCCTCTTATAAATTTTTATTCAAGGTAAAGACCATTTAAATCTATATTTCAAATAGTATCTCAATTCATTTGGCATTTAATTTAATTTAATGTCATTTGTTCCTTTTTTTTTTAAAAAATATTCTTTTTATGTCTTTTTTCCTATATATAACTATAATATATTTTTAATGTATAATGCTAAAATTTTCAAATTAATAAATTAATTTTCTTTTCTTCTATCCATTTTTATTTGTTGCTTCGAAATAAATATTTAGGACAACCATAGGTAGGATACAGAGGGTCTATGCTGAGTTATTTTTCATATGTCCAGTATTATTTAACCATTATTTAAGTGATTTAATCAGCTATATTCAAAAATTAGATTAATTATATAAAATTAATCATTAATATATGATAAGCTAAGTTATTCAACTAGGTAAAATTTTTTTAGTATTCTTATTAAAATTTTGATTTAGTTTTCTCTATTTATTTAATTAACAATTTTTCAACATCCTCAAGATGCACTAAACATAGAGCAGTCATATATAATTATAAATCCATAAAAATACTTAAATTATCATTGTACATTAGACCAGATCTCATTGACTTTGAAGATTATAAAACCGAAAATGCTAACCGAAATTTAAAGGAAGCATTCGAGATTGCGGAGTCGTATTTAGGGATTTATCGTTTATTAGACCCTGAAGGTTTGATCATAAAAATTAGTATATTTATATAGCAATTATTTAAATATGCACATTCAATTTTTTTTTAAATGAGACTACATTATATTATTAATATAACGCTTGTAATCGGAACCATATTGAAAGCAATCTAGGTCATTAATATATTACAAGTTTTTGATTAACATAATTTTTAATCCCAAATATTGGATTACATTTTTTTTAAACTAATTTTAATAAAAATCTGAACAAAAAATTTAAATATAAATTTTAAATAAATAGCTATATATTTGTATTTAAACATGTTCAATATACGATTTCCCATAATAAAGAAGGAAAATAATGGATTCTTTTTATTGGTTAAAAATAATTGAAATTTATTTTCTTTTACGGTTTCGAGGGTATATAAAATGTCTGAAAATGAAATATTAATAGATATTTTAAGTTTTAGTGGAAGTTGCGTTGAAAGCGAAAAATAAAATAAAATATGTTTAAAAAAGTGGGAATCATTAATTTTATCTTAATAAATATTACTTATTAGAAGTGCGCCTTCTTAACTGGATAGTACAAAGAATTAAAAAAAATTTCTAAAGAATGTCTTGCGGCAGAATACTGTCCGTAAGATCAAGAAAACTGTTATTTCTGGAAGAAATAAGATGAATATGCCATTTCCAATATGGCACGGTCATTGATTGATAATGTAACAGTAAAGGCTTTTAAAGATTTTGTCATCATTATGAAATATTTTGAATAGATTTAAATAAAGATATAATGTGGATGATATTATTCAATACATCGAAAAAAAATTTTCATCTTATAAAAGAGGAGAAGATATAATATGGATGATATTATTACATCGGATAACACTTATTTTTAAAATTTATAAGTTTAATAAAAACAAAAAATATTCACCTAAAAGAGGAATTATAAGAAAATTACATTTTTTTCCCAATTTCACAAACATTGAACAAGATTTTCAGATTGTTTTGTTATATTATTATAGGCGTGCTTGTCGTACGTGGAGCCTGGTTGCAACAACGGATGCCAAAATGCTTATCTAACGAAGTCACTACTACTACTGCACATCATATATAAATGAGTAAATTTTCCACTTTTTGCTTAGGTACACGGAAATCTGCTTAAATGATACACAAGATTATAAGAACAACTTGTTTTGATGCTCGGTATGAACCAGTTTATGTGGAGTTTAATTCATGGTATTAATTATCGAATACGAATAACTTCATCTCTCAAACATGAAACAAACGATATGTTGTTAAAGCTTTAAAGCTTAAAATAAATTGCAAAGTCTTTTCCCAGTTCCAATAATGTTGGTGCAACCGAAAGATAGTGAATATTTTTCATTTAAAGATTTATTTACTATATTAGAATCAAATAAAAATTAAACATAATTGGAAATTCTACAATATTTAAGAGATTTTTCATTGAGATCGATATTATTTGTGAGTATAGGGACGTACATATATGCAACTTCCACCGCAGTGAGAGATCAATATATAAACCGAATAGTCGAAGTTTAAATGAAATTCTTTTAGAAAAATAAGTTGTGATTAAAGGGAGAGGAATATATTAATAAATTATATAAATGGTTTTATTGTATTGTATCCATATTCCGATTATATTCTATATTAATTTGTTATAATAAAAATAAATTATAAATTTCAGGCCCTTTTACTTTATTTCTCATATATAGTTTTTTTTTAAATATATCAAATATCTAAATATATTCAAAACCTTTAGTTAATTTTTTACAATTTAAACATTCAGAAAAAAATTAATATAAGCAAATAAGTAACTTGTACAACCAATAACAGAATAAGAAATAATCACATGCCTCAAGCATATGAAAAACAACAAAGCTAGGGGTCCAAATGATATTCCAATAGAAAGCCTTAAAGCAATAGGAGATGGTGGAATACATCTTCTCACAAATCTATATAAAATACTTGGAAATGAAGAGGTTCCTTAAAAATGGAGGCAGAGCTATCTAGTTCCTATGTTCAAAAATAAAGGGGACCCACACGATTGACAAAACTACAGGGGCATAAAACTAATGTCACACTGTCTAAAACTATACGAAAAAATAATAGAAAAAGGATTAAGAGACATAATCGAAATAGGAGAGACTCAGTTTGGCTTTATGCCTGGAAAATCAACAACTGATGCTATCCACGCAATTAGGCAAATGAGTGAAAAATACAGGGAAAAGAACAAAAAGCTACCCATGGTCTTTCTCGATCTAGAAAAGGCCTTCGATAGAATCCCAAGAAAACTTATCTGGTGGGCGCTATGTCACAAAAAGGTTCCCAAAAAATATATAAGAATAGTACAGGATATGTATATGGGGCATACAACAATGGTCCGTAGCACAACAGGTACTTCAGCAGGCTTCACAATAGCCGAAATAGATTTATTAGCACAGTCTATACCTCAAACAGTCCAGTGAAATATGATATTTGCAGATTATATTGTGATACTTGCCGAATCCAAGGATGAAATGAAAGAGATTAGTGAGTTGGATAATATCCTAGAAAAGCACGGACTAAAAGTAAATAGAGAAAAGACGGATTATTTGGTGATAGGAGGAAATGAAACAGAGAGTATTGATATAAATGAATGGCAGATATCGGCAATTGAAAGCTGCAAATATTTGGGCTCCATTATACAAACAAACAGCACAATAGAAAAAGAGATATAGAGTAAAATTAATCAAGTGTGGTTAAAGTGGAGATCTTTATCTGAAGTGCTATTTGACAAAAGAATCCCACACAAATTAAAGGTAAAAATTTAGAGCCATAGTACAACCAACTATTCTATTAGTTCGGAAACATGGCCAACCAAGGAATCAGACGAGAGAAGTCTACATACTATGGAGATGAGAATGCTGAGGATGATTTAACAAGAAAGGATAACGTGCGCAGTACAAGAATACTAAGTAGTTTAAAGGTAGTGTCCATTAAGACTAAGTTAATGGTAAACAAACTTAGGTGGTATGGGCACACAATGAGAAGGCCTATGAACTACATAGGAAATAAGGTTGAGAGTTTGGAAGTGATGGGCAAACGTAAAAGAGGAAGCCAAAACTTCAATGTGGCCATAAAGTTAGAGCCAATATAAAGAAGTATAAATTAGATAAAAGAGAATGTATGAATAACATAAAGTGGAGAAAAATGTTGAAGGAGCTTACCACCAGAAAAGGTGAAAGATAAAGAGAAAAAAATAAATAAGTAATCCAATTTATAGCGTTATATAAAGTAATATAATATAATACTTGTAATCCATATGAAATTTCAAAAGATCTAAACCATATTTTTAAAAGTAATATAGAGTTGTAATATATTACATTTGTTAGATTCATTTGGTCATCACTTTATATACCTTCTTTAACATTTTTATAATCGGTAAATGAGTGTCAAAAACACATCTCAACACTAACTTGTTAATAAAATTATCCACTAAAAAAAATTTATTATATAATTATAATTTTATAAACCAGACAACATTATTTTAAATTGGATTTGAAAAAAATGTTTTTATAATCTTAAAATCACATAATAATACTAAAATAAATTATATAAAAAATGAAAAATAATTAAGTTATCTTAAGAAAAATGGAATTAATCTGTCCAAAGCATCAAAAAATTTAATTTGAAAACTTTTACCTTATTTTAAAAAAACAGCCATAACATCTTTATTGTAATTTTGTAAAATTTCTACAACCTAAAGAATGAAAATCTAAATCTAATATTAATAAATACTATATTTATTATTATGTAATAAATTAAATTGAAGTTTTATATTATTATATTTTGAAACATTTCGTAACAATTTCGGGGATACTATCTGAATTATCATTGTCCAAAATGTTCCTGATATAAAATAAATATCAAATAAATAAATGTAAAAATGTAAAATACATATATTTACTTTGCAACAGTGAATGATATGATAAAACAGTAATCAACACAACAGTGTCATTTTTAAATCTTCACGCACTTCATTTATCACGGGATACCATTGTACTAAATGGTATATGACATATTTTTAATAAAAATAATTTAGACTAACCGTCTAAGATAGAAGAATAGATGTTGCTACTAAGGTGCTTTAATAATAATTAAACAATCGATACCACTATATACTATTAATAACTTATTTTTTAAAAAACAATAAATTTATACTAAATAAAAATTTTAATAAAATATTTAAAAGCGACATAAACAAATTTGCAAAAAAAACGGATGGTTCAATTAAGGTTTTGGGGTTAATGTTCCATTTATTAGAGTATTAGATTTTAGAATATGTAAAGACAAACACAAATGTTACAAGAATGAAGCTATTAAATAAATTTAAGTACAAAACTTTCGTAAGTAATAAATATTAATTTGAAAAATCATCAATATAATTTCTAAAATATTAAATCAATTCTTAAATCTTCGAAAGATGTGAATAGCGTATATCCGGACGAGAAATCAATACTGACTTATCTGTCTTGCTTATACCACTTTTTTCATAATCCTAAACTATTGGGAAAGATGTCTCCCGATAAAAAGCTTAAAAAGATTGAAATTATTGGCAATTCATCTTTGATAGAAAACGATCAGAATATTGCCAAAAAAGTATAATTTAAAATATAAATACATATAATTTTTCTCATTTTGATAAGTGATTAATAAAAAAAAAATTAAATTATAAACAAATAGTAAATTTAAAAATATATTGTCCCTAAATATGGCCTTAATCAAAAAAAATAAATTTGTTTAAATGCGATAGATAACTCATAAATATTGAATAGTAATTAGTAGATCTCCTCTCTCTTATAATTCTGTTAAGATTTATTAAACTAAATAAAAAATTTAGTTCAAATTCTGAAGCAAATTATATTTTGAGGTCAGAAAATTAAAAAATTATTTTATTTTGCATGTATAAATATTTAAAGCATGTGGTATAATAATTTGCTATTGAACCATGAACTAGAATTAAGTTTAAAAATTTAATTATTTTTTTAAATTTGGTTTCACTTGAATCTTCTCCTCTTTTAGATAGAAACATAGCATTATTTATAATCTATATAGATGATATAAAAATGGAATTCTTATTTAATCCATTCGGTGCTTTTCATAGTAAAGTAAAAATAAAATATATCTATCACTTGAAAACTCTCTATAATATAACCATAATATCCAAATCCATTATCAAACTTTTTGAGCTCCTTCATAAAAAAATTCCATTTTTCTAATACATAAAAAAGTTTATAAGGAAATTTGTAAACGCCATATAAATAACAAATCACAAGTAAAATATTACCAAAATCAAGGGACAACCTTTATCTTAAAAGGTTGCGGTTCGGGGGGGGGGGGATTTGTCGGTTGTAGTTCAGCTGCTTAAAATTTAAGAGGATGTGGATAGATTGGGGTCTCCGAAAAATTGTATAGGTTTATTTCGTTTAAATATTAATTATATTTATATCCAATTTATCTTAAAAATATAAAAATAGAATACGCAGAAAAATGAATTTTATTGAACTAATATACACTGCACACTAGTGTTGTTTAACGGCTCGTTTTGAGCCGATTTTTAAAAACGGCTAACTCGATATTTTAGCTAGAAAAATATTGCCCAAGCCTCGAAATTTCGCTAATAGATGTCCAAACCTTTGTTCCTTCTACAACCAAAATCTTGAGACTTTGGCAATATTTTTCTGGCTAAAATATTAAGTTAGCCGTTTGGCTCAAAACGAGCAGTTTAACAACACTACTGCACACTAAAACAAGCTATAACATAACCAAAAATCAGGTGTTTTGAAATCAATTCTAAAAACTTAGATATAACGAATGCTTACACATAAAAATTTACCGTCTCTTTACTAGTTGAATTTATGCTAAATAATTTCCATAATTGAGGAATAGTCTACCTTTTAGAATAGAACCCCAAATAGTGTTTTTAACTTTAGGACAGACAATATATTTTTAAAGAATATAATGTTTGGAAAAAATTGTAAGAATTCCTTATGTGAATAATTGCAAGAAAAAGACGCAATACTTATATCATTTATAAATATTACATTATAAAATTTAAGAGATAAGGTTTTTGTATTTTATTACATTTTACAAAATATTAAATTTAATTTATATATGTTAGCGTTGTTGTGTTATTTCCGGCTGTGAAATTTTTTTTATCTTTAAATCATTTTTGGAGCGAGTTTTTTTAAATTTAAAAATCTTATTTTACCTGAAATGTATTCCAGCATGTTTAGAATACCTATCTTATAAACTGTAGATATTTGTACCTTTAACTTTTGAAACAATTTATATGGAAAAACCAATATAAATTATATTAAGTAAGCTCATGACAAAATTAAGTGAAATTCATATGGTAAGTATTTTAAAAATGATGGAATACATTCCCGATTAAGCACTCAAAAAGTGATTTAAAGTTGAAAAAATAAAACATTGCAGGAAAAATCACACTGCCGCTAACATATAAAAATAAAAAGCTAGGGCGAATTATACAAAATATGATGTATTTTTGTATACTGTTGCAAATTCGTACTAACTGTGAATGCAGGGTAGCAAGGTTTTATCGGCTTCCTTGCAAAAAAAACCGACGCGATTATGTGAGGACTCGCATAATTCACCATCACGTGTGAGTTCTTTAAAAAAATAGTCGTAGACCATCGTGCAAAATTAATGAATTTAAGGTAGTAGATGAATATATAATGTATTTATTTGTTTAATTTGTCAAACGTTATGTCATTTATCTAAGTACGTGTTACAAATCCAAAAGTAAACAATTTAATTAAATGAGATTTGATATTTTTAAACTGTAAATAAAAATGTAACTTAAGTGGAAATTATTTTATCATAAAAGTTTTACTTTCTGGATCCCTGCCAAAATTACAATAAAAATTTTTGTAAAAATTGGATTAAAATACTATGAAATAAAAAAATAAAATGATATTCTAGACTCAAAGTACACACTTTGATATATATAACAATCTAAATTTTATGTTGTATTTTTAATATATTTAAATTTAGCAACAATTTTGGGATTAAATTAGATCAACAGTTAGGGGTGTCAATTTCTGAAGATAAGATTTTGTCAGTCCGGAATGAGATCCAGTATTTGGTTTAGGTTCTCAATTGGACACGTCTTATATATTTTATTTTGCTTGAAAGTTATTGTTTAAACAAAATCATCTCTTCTCCCAGTCTTTGAAATCAACACCACAGTTTGGTCATCCTTTGGCACCACCATCTGTATTATATGGGCCTTGGACTTAAGCTATGCAATAAATCATAAATTTTAAAATTGTAGAAACATTTTCTAGGATAGAAAATATTCGAATTAAAATATCGCCCTAGTACGCTTTTGCCCCCTCCTCCTTAACGATAATTTAAACCAAGTAAATTATCCCCCTTTAACTTGATTTCATATAAAATAATTTTTGTCCTCGGATTTAGTTCTACCCTAGTCGTACTTAAATAAATTGAATTATTATTGTATTATAAAATTCCCCTTCATTAATTCAACTTATAATTAAACTAATTTCGTTTGAAAATTAGTGAAATTTCTTAAATGTTGACCATGCTGGATAAATTTCTAAATTCAGGATTGTAAATGTATTAGCACAACTGGGTGAGTTCGAGACCGCTTAAGAGCTAACACTGCTACTAATACAAATGCAATCCTGTTGGAGGCAAGCTTCGGTAATTATAAAATAATCAAAATCTTTGATTTTAAATTATAAAAATCAATTTTAAGGGTGTTTCAAAAATGCGAAATATATAGAAATCGATTTCTAACAATAATAATTATGAATCTTTTTTTTTAAACACACAATACACAATTAAAATTTACATTATATATCAAAATCAAGGTTAACCACGGATATTCAATTGTAAATAATATCCTTGTAAACTCAAACATATAAACGTTTGAGATTTTATTAGAGACAATATAATTTTTTTTCAAATTAAGAATTGCTTGCGAGAATTAAGATTTTCAAAACTTTATAAACATTTTTTTCCCTCAGATTTTTAATCAAGAAAATCTAAATATTTTTTATCAATAAATAATTCGTAATTTGATTCCTCTCGTGTAAGAAATTTAGCATTTTTATCATTTCTTATTCCTAAATTTATTAGTATATGCAGATTTCTGCAGGAACAATGGTAACATGATCAATAAAATATAGACCCAGCCCATAATCAATTAAAATATTAACGTATATTTCCTTCCTTTTATTCCTTTTTTTGCCTGATAAAATATTACACTTGTAAGAATGTGAGTAAAAAATAAGAAAAATTTTGGAAAAATTAACTTTCTTATAATATTTTATTTTTTATTATATAGAATAAAATACAATAAATAAACTTTAAATTATCAAGGTTATTTGCTGAATTTTTAAATTTAGGGTCCAAAGTCAAAAAATTTTTCAAAAAAAATTATTATCGCATTTATACATTAAGCGTCAAAACTCGTAGTAAATTTCAATAAAAAATTAATTTTTTTAAAATAAAATTTTGACTTTGGACGTACACTTACCCTTAATGTATAATATTAAAATAGAGAATAAAATAAATATATTGAGTTTGAGATTTCTTCCCAATAATCTTTTTTAAAAATTTGAGCCAAGGTAGATTTAAAACATGGGCCCAAAAATTTCGATTCTAAAGGATATTTTCTAATAGAAATAATGGGTGGTATTAAGTTTTATTAAATTATTCGTATAATATGGAAATAAATAATTATTAATATTCCATACGAATTTTATTATATTAGCTAATCGAATATGAACAACGCTAAAATTCATATTATTAACTTAATTATGCGTTTTCACTTATCTGATTATAAGATCTTAATGTTTTACATCAAAAGCATATTACTTTTTAAAAAAAATCTAAATTTTATTTCATCTAAATATTTTAATTTCTTCGAATCTAATCAAAAATAAAAAGAAGAGGCGCCAAAATATATTAGCATAATTAGTTTAAAAAAATATATAAAATCTCAAAAAATGTTCAACAAAAAATATTGACAACACTAGAATATCTAATATAACTTTTATAATATACAAAATAAAACTGTGGTTTGAATTTTAATTTACAATACAAACATGGATGAAAAGAAAATATTAAAAATTTAACTTATAACAGAGAGTAAAGACCTTTTTAGTTTTTTTTTTTAAATGCGATATTCGATAATATTTTAGGCTATGTATTTTGTATGCCAAAATAAGATAATATGCATTCTTTTAGAAAGGAATAAATTAATATCTACGATTTAGTAATTTTATCTTTTAGCATTTTTGGCATGCCACATTTTGTGAATTACAATCATTATGCCCCACCCATTATGTTCAAATGTAAAACTATATTGAAAAAAAATGAATCTTTATATTTAAATAAATTCGGGAAATAATTTTTATACTTGTTTCAGGTGGACAAATAAAAAAAATGGTGGACTTAAAAAATTAGACTCAATGCAGATTATTAATTCCCTTATCCCCTTGCAAAATTTGCAGATTTTTTAAATATCATTTTTCATAAACAAATAGAAATCCCTATATATCCTACACACTTAGGGCTTTTAAAATCAAATATTTTAAGTGATTATA